GGGGGGGGTGCATCTTTCTTAACACAAAGGTAGTTCATATCCTGACACAAGATCCGTGAACTTCTCACTGTACAGCTGATGGACCCAGAAGTCAAAGAGAAAGAGACAGTGGCTCTAAAAAAAGTTCCATGGCGGGCCAGGAGGGCACCCACCGGGTCCGGCACCTGCAGGCTATTTAAGTCCAATTCTAGAGGTTCCAGAATAAGTCTGATAAGCTCACATGAAGAAGTCTCATGTGAAACTAATTTAAGCCTCAGGCAGATTTCACATTGATTCTTTTGAACTGTGGGGGATGGAAATGAAAACTCCACATGAACACCTTGGTTCTCGAGAAAATGGTGATTTCTCTGACGGCTGCCGTGGGTGCTGAGAGGACAGTGAAATCTCCTCCAGTTGGAGGCACAAGCGCTGGTGAAGGTGGTTTTTATTGAAGCGAGTGAGAAGGCAGTACCAGGATCTGCACAGGAGAGAGGCTGGGGCCCGAGTGTGCCCTCAGGGGGCCTCCTGTTTAAGCAACATGATGTGACGGGGGAGGAAAGGGGAAAGAGTGTTGGCAGCTCCATCACGGTTGGAGTTCCATTCAAGGGTCTTAAGGCTAAACATCTTTATTGCAAAACACTGTACAATCTATCCATCAACGGCACATCAGCTTGTACCTCCACCAGGGCTCCTAAGACTTCCCAGAAGGCCACATGCCACACGGTGGTCAATGCAACAAGGGGAGACGAGGTTCTTCCTACGCCTGATATTCCTAAGGCATTCACTTAATCCCCACACAGGCTTGGACAAAAGTTTGACAGTTGGCTTTGTTGGCCTAAATAAAGAGACAAGCTCAAAACTGTCAAAGATGATGGATTTTCTGAATAGCAGAGGAATTGGCATTCAGGACTCGCCCGTAGTTTGCTACAGTTTGCTTGACCAGAATTGCAATTCCTCTGCTATTCCCAAATAAACTCATCTTTTTGTGACAATTTTGAGCTAGCCTCTCTATTTAAGTCACATTCCTTGGTGTCAGAAGTGGGACCGAAAGGAAACGACCCCCAAAGGACAATGACCCTTCAGAACTGAGTGAGGTACCCTACGTGAGCCCCGCTGTGCTCTTGGCTTCCGTGAGCCTCCCTCACTTCTGGTTTGGGGAGTCTGCTCCCGGAGTCTGGGCTCCCTCCCTTTGGTTGAGCTCTCCCACTTTGTTCAGAACCTATTTAAATGCTTCACTCTTTCTGTTCTGTCCTATTTGTTGTTTTCTTATTAGAAGTGCACTAGAATTTTGGTATAATTACTTTGGAATTTTTGAGAGCAAAAAATTTAAAAAATATCAGTGGTCATGGGTCCAGCAAATAAATCTTACCGGAGTGCTTGCCACCTCCTTATGAGAGACTTCAGTCTCCAAAGCAAAAGACTCTCAAGAGGATAAATTGGTCACAGCAAGGCCAGATTGACATTGGGTTGCCCGCCAATAGCTGGGACAATTTCTGTGCAACGGGACACCTGGTCAGGAGTCAGACAACTAGGGCAAAGGCAGTCCTTTAGAAGCAAAATGGATCCCATGAAAGGCACACTGTCCCAGTAAAAAAAAAAAAACAGCTCCTAGCCCTGAGAGCGCCCCCTTCAGGCTATTTAGGAATGTTTCTTTTGCTCTCAAGAATACCTCTGAGAAATAGGATCCCTGTCACCTAAATGCTCTAAGGGTGGCCCTCCTTCAGCTGGCTTTATTAAAAAATCATAGGTTTGCTTCATGTGCATTTTCTACTAACTGGAGCAACCTTACTAAAGATTATTTAGAATGTCGACGGTCATTATGTGGAACTCTCAACTTCCCCAAACTTTCCAAGGGACGAGTTTCCCTAACTCTATAGCTCTGCCTTCTCTATATTTACCTCTGCCCTCTCCTAACCCCCTTCCTTTACCAGGATGTCTCTTCTTTCTTGTCTCCTACTAAAATCTTACCAACTAAGCTTCTGGAAACTCTCCCTTCTTCTGGAAACTCTCCCTTTTGTTAGGTCTTCGGAGGATCACGGCGTGGTTTACGGTGGAAGATTCAGTTGGTGTCTAAAGCTCACGGTCCCTGCTCGGAGACCCAGAGCAGCGTCAGGCAAGAGTAGGTATTGAGCACAGAGCAGCCTCTGGCCAAGTGCATGTCATAAAAATGAAAGAAGAGAAGGTTTGGCTCATTTAAAAATTTTTTTTCAGAGAAAACAATTACAGCAAAAGTCCCTAAAATCCTTAAATGGGAAACGAAAGCATTTACAGCCACACATGGTCTCTCACTGTCGCTCACACAAGCACATGCTGTGGGCCCTGCGACCTCGAGGTGAACAGGTCTGGGCTTCCATTCAAGCCCAGTTTCAATCCTGAGTCAGTCCCAGGAATACATTCATGAAGCTTTATCCGTCCCACCCCACAAACAAGTCTGGACTTCAAAGCCTCACGAATCAGCATCTTTGCTCCTCAGACCCAGCCGGGGAGTCATTTCTGAATAGACACCTGTGCCCCTCGGCAGAGATGCGGGGTAGTGGGAAGGCTGAACGGGAGCCTGTCATCAGTCCCCGGAGAGGTGGGCAGGTGCTTCTGAGGCTGGACGTTAGAGAGATTAGGGCCCCTGCCCTGCTTTAACTGTAGTGGGTCTGAACCTTTGGACGCAGGTGAGGGAGCATGTTAAAGGAAACAAACGAGAACGTTCTGGGGAAGCTGGTGGATGGGATTCTGGATATTCTACAGCCTCTGCCCCAAGTATTAGTTGGCAGCTTCTCAAGTTAAAAAAGCTGAAAGCTCACGGCTTTATCCAGAATCACAAACAATCATCCCTCGGCCTCAGGAAATTTCCCTTCCTCCTCTTTGTGTGCTTCCACCTGAAGCTCAGTCTGATAATTTCTCAGCCTTCGGAAGCCTGGGGCCACCGCTGTAAGCCTCACGTGAGAAGCTACTACAAGAGTGTGCAGGGCCTCTGGGGAAGGTCCCTGGCCTTGACCTCCAGACTTTGCTCTCCAGGGCCATCTGCGCCAACCCTGGGAGCCGGGAGAGGACAGCCCCACTCTGCACAGACAACTAAGGGCCAAGTGCTGGGTCATGCCGTCGCCACCGAGCGGGTGGCTGGGTGGCCCAGGCAGGAGGCTTTCAGAAACACTGAGTATCTTTGGTAGGGGAGGTCCTAGCCTGTCAGGTCCCTCAGTACGAGGGAAATTGGCACTAGGACCCAGGTTCTCTGCAGCAAAGCAATGCCGGGCAGAGGGGCCGAGAGGGCTGCTGCAGCGTAACTGGGGCGGAAAGTCAGCGCCCTGGGTGACCACGCTGTCACGAGCAGCCCAGACCACCTGCATGCCTAATTAGCTCGCCGAGAGCTGCCTACTTTAAAAGCTAAACCGCAAACCTTGCTTGTCAGTTTTTAAGGGTCCTGATTCCCGTCTGCAGGGCATACACCTGGGCTAGCCCCACTTTGCTTGGGGAGAACTCTTTCCTTTCTAAGACACTTATGAAAGAAGCCCAGGCACACGAATGACCTGACCCCAGGTCCTATGAAGCAATGGAGTGTCCCTGAGGACAGTGGCATTGGCATAGGGTCTTGTGTGACCCACAGGCGGCCTCATGATCATTTTCTGGGCAGGGCTCGGATCTTCCCCATGGACCACAGCTCCACGGCCACCATCTCCATCACCCTACAGAGACAGCTGGAAAACCCACTGCCCCACTTTCTCTTTCCAGCTCTGGAAGCAGGGACGATCATGTGCCTGCAATAGTCTCACGGTTTCTCTTGAAGTCCTACTAACTTTAGTAGGAGGTAAAGAGATTAGCTTTAAAATAAGGCCAAGCCTGGCTCCCATGCAGTGGACAAAATACAAACTTCTGAAGGGCAATCCCAGTGAGAATTATTAACATAGCACTTGCTACAATCATTTTTCTGAGGTTGTGTGTGTGTGTGTGTGTGTGTCTGCTTGGCTAATGAAGCAACTCTGGGCTCGTCGCCCTTCCTGCCGATGCCCCATACCCTGAGCAATGCCACAGGAGCACGTGGGGAGAGGTTGGGGAGGACAAGCAGCACAGGGGCCTGTGTGATGAGGCCAGTGGCATGAAGCAAGGCCCGAGATTCATCTGGGGCCTCCAGAGCCCTCCCCTCTGGCCATCCCATAGGAGCGAGCTGCAGAGAATCCCTGGATCCCAAGGGCCCCTCTCCAGCCCTTGCTTGGCTCACCTCTTTGAGGAAAGGAGGCCTGAGGAGTCCCTGCTCCCCGTGTCTATGGGAGGCACCCCCGGCACCTCAGCTGCTTTTTGGCCTTAACCACTAGAGACAGAAAGTTGAAAGGCTCTCCCCTCCCTGTCCCTCAAACTCTCCTTGTCCCGAGCTTGTTACAAATGACGACTGTAGGAAAATATACGGTGACGTCGGACACAGGCTGTACAAGGACAGGGAATGCTGGGAAATCCTTGTGCCCACTGCAGTCTTTGGGGTCTTGGAGAAGAAGCCAATATCCGTGAGGGGTACTGAGTGCTCCCCCACCGATGTCCAAGTGGCTGCTGCTCTTTTCTGCTAGTTTTAATCTCTTACAAATATCAAGGCAGTAAAAAATCAAAAATGAAGTTGAACACCCTTTCGACAGAGCATGCCCCCTCTCCTGAAGTTGTGCGGACAGTTCCGATGCAGCCGGGGCTGCCAGGGTGGCACCCTCCTCTCCCACGCCCTCGGCAGGGAGCGCCGCCTAAGCAACTGGTCCCACTTTGATTTTGCCGGGAAAAGCCTACTTTTGAAAGTTGTTGGTCATGTAGGTGTGTGTGGTGGGGGTGTTGCCCAGGGCAGGGTGGTCGGTTTTTGTCTCTGACTTTTTACTGACAGACCTCTCAGCTCGATCCGAAGACGTCTCTCTCGGATTCCGGGGACTGGGGCCCGGATATTTCGAACAGCTCCTGGGGAGACTGAGAGGCCCTTCTGGAAGTTAATATCCTGAGTATCTCCGAGAGCTGCTTCTCGACGTTGGTCATTTTGCTGTGCAAGGCCTTGATGTCCTCCTTCAGCTCGAGCTTCACCTCCAGGAGGGCGGCCTGCAGCGTCTGCTCGGGGATCGGGTAGAAGGCGTGCTTGACCTCGGCCAGGATGGGGCTCCGGTCCTGGGGGCTCCGGGCCTCGCCCGCGTTGTCCAGGCGCAGGTCGCTCTTGGTGATGCCGCTGTCGCAAGAATCTGTCTTCTTCAGCGTGGCCTCCCCTGACGCCTTGGTCCTCTCGGGGAGCGTCTCCATGGACTCGGCCTTGGACACCTTGTTCCAGTCCTCGCCCTTCCCGCAAGCGTCCTTGAAGCGGGCCCAGCCCTTGCGCTTGGCGCAGTCGCTGCCCCTGGGGCCCAGGCACTCGGACCCGGGCGCGTGCAGCTTGGCCAGGTCGGGCGCCCCCGCCCCCGGGGGACAGGCCTGCAGGGACACGGGCGTGGCGGGGCTCTCCCGGACCGTGACCACGCTGGCCTTCACGAGGCTGTGGTTGGCCGAGGCGCGCTCGGCGAGGACACTGCCCTTCTCCACGTCTGGCTCGTCCGGGTCCCGGCCGCCCCTCTCGGCCGCCAGCCTGGCCTCTTTCTGCTGCCGGAACCTCTGGAAGAGTCTCCGGACAGGGTGGTCCGGGGGCAGGATCAGGGGGGCCTCGTTCTTGCGTTTCATGCGCTCCTCCTCCTCCCGCTTCACGTCGCTGATCTTCCGAAACACGATCTGGGCGAGAAAGAAAGACAGGCTGTGTTAACGCGCCACCCGGGCGCTGCTCTGGCTTCCAGCCCCGCGCCCTGGTCCCCAGCCTTGTCATGTTCCTGCCAAGGCCTCCCGGGGCTGTGCTCGGTCACTGCCTTCACTTGCCTAACACTCTTCTCGGCTCCCCAACAGCAAGAAATGAACTCTTGCCATGTCCTTGTCAAGAGAAACAACCCCCAGCCTCTCCATTCCCCGGGCCAGCAGGCTGCAGACACCAGCTGGCCTCCTCCCAGAGACTGTCCTGGCCTCTGAGCTGGGCCCCCCGTAACCCATCCTTGGCCCTCAATTCAGCATCACCTGACAAGCTTTTCAAAAACTACTTTTCTGACCCTACCTCAGACCTACTGCACTGGAGTCTCCAGGTGGGAGCCCTTGAATCGGGGAGCCCTTGAATCTGAACTCCCAAAGCTCCCAGGTGATTCTCATGCATGTGAGTCTGAGCACCTCTGGTCTAAACCACACTCCAGGGAAGAAAGTTCGGCCCATCCCCGGGGCAAGGCTCCAGCTGAGACCGCCACCTGCAGACCTGGACCCTGGGTGAACGGGGCTGGTGTGGGAGGTAAGAGCTGGTCTCACCGGGAAGCCTCCTGATCCTTGCGGAGCTGACCGGGAAGAAGGGCCCCCGGCCTTGCCCATGAGCTCATCCCAACAGTCACAAACACTGGCCAGTGCTGCACAGTGTCCAAGGCATTTTGATGCTACTTCAAGTTACTTACGACAGCACTATCAGGGCCACTGGGACCATTAGTTATTATCCCCATTCTAGAGAAGAAATCAAGGCTCAGAGTAGGTAAAAGTCGCCTAACAGATACGTTTCCTCTAAGGAACTTGTACCCAAGCCACCAAATCCTAGATCCACTAGATGTCCAATGGGCATTTCCTGATGTTCACAATGCTTCATGCAGAGGACAGACAGACAGCAACACAGTCTCATGAGCCTGGCTCTGAGCACAGCATAAACTATGACTACGTATTACAGGGCTCTCCCCTGGGCCGATATCTGATTATGGGAAAGCCCTATCATTTCTGGCTCATAATGCATGTGGCAGGTACACTCAGGGACATGTTTGACTCAAACCATATCTGAACCTCTAGGAAGCAACCTGCAATAGGTCTTTATTTTTTTAAATATGTTTTATTGATTTCAGAGAGAGGAAGGGAGATGGAGAGAGAGAGAAACATCAATGATGAGAGAGTCAGTAATCGGCTGCTTCCTGCACGCCCCCTGCTGGGTACCAAGCCCGAAACCCGGGCATGTGCCCTGACCAGGAATCAAACCGCGAACTCCTGGTNCACGCCCCCTGCTGGGTACCAAGCCCGAAACCCGGGCATGTGCCCTGACCAGGAATCAAACCGCGAACTCCTGGTTCATGGGTTGACGCTCAACCACTGAGCAACACCAGCCAGATGTTTTTTTTTGNTGCCCTGACCAGGAATCAAACCGCGAACTCCTGGTTCATGGGTTGACGCTCAACCACTGAGCAACACCAGCCAGATGTTTTTTTGTGTGTTTTTTTTTGTTTTTTTTTTTTAATCCTCACCTGAGGATATGTTTTTATTGATTTTTAGAGAGAGAAAGGGAAACATCGAAGTGAGAAATGTTAATCAGTTGCTTCCCATATGAGCTTTTCCAAGTATTTTATGAAATTTTAACAGATGCCACAAAAGCGAAAATTTCAAAATGAAATGAATTTGAACTACACAACAATGTTAAATTTGCTGCTTTACTGCAGGACTTCTCAGAGCCTTGACGTGCTAATGAGCCTTACGAATGTCGAAGAGGACAATATCGCAGGCAGCATTTCTTAAACTCTTTCCTCCAGAGCCTCTCTCTGCAAAGGGTAGTGTTCCTCAGAACTCCCATCTGGCCAACACTGAAATTGCATCAATGTGGGAGGACCAGGAGTCCTCTGTATTTGTGCAGAGCCCTAATGGATGGGAAGGCCGTTTCCTGGTCCATGTTTCAGCTAAATGGCGCCTATCTCAACCCCTGCTGCGGAGTCCCCGGAGTATGGGGTTTGGAGTCTCCATTGCAGATGCATTGGAGGGAAATGGGTCAAGCCAAACTCTGTGACATGACAGATGCAGCTGTCAGATCAACGCTCCTGCCCATCAGTGGCTCTATATGCTTGGTCCATACTGAGCAATTTCAGGTCCCCAAAAAGCGCCCTTCAATCTCATCTTCTGCCCCATTCCTTCAACCTGACTCCTACGTGACCTTTAGGATTCAGCTTAGGAGTCATCTACTCCAATGAGCTTTCCTGACTCTGCCTGACCCCCGGAGCCGGAAGACCCTTCCTGGTGGGGCAGCCACATGTACCTCCATCACGGACGGTTGCAACCATTGTTGAGAAGCAGCATTTTGCTTATTTGTCTTTTCCTTAGGCAGTCGCTCCCTGAAGGCAGGCACAGTGCTTTAGTCCATTGTTTTTTGTTTTCCCACCTTCAGCCCCATGCCTGGCATATATAATGCTCAATCACTGGTCAATGAATATTTCAGTGAGTAAATTATGGCCATCCCCCTGTTTGCGAGGCTCATGCTAGGGTGACAGAAGTGATGTGTATGCCCCTGCACGGGTGCACACGTGCGCGCGCACACGCACACACACACACACACACACACACACGTCTATTTCTGATGTTTGTAGTCTAGTGGGGAGAGAGAAGAAGAGAGATTACAGGTCGATTTCTCAATGCACAACCTATTTGCTCCTCGAGTATAAATAAAATCCTAAAGGACTTCCATTTTCACTCATCTTTATTTCAGGCTGCCCTAATACAGACTTCATCATCCCTGTTGGATCAATTTTTATTTTTTCCATCTCTTACATGAGCTCTGAGAGCTGATACTTAGAAGAAGCCCCGAGATGAAGGTTTTTGCAAAGTACAACTGCTCTCGAATATTTCTTTTGTATAAACTTGGCTCTTCCGGTGGAGGGCGATCTGATGTCCTGGGAAGAGCCTGGTCTGGGACTGAAGACCGGAGTGCTCGTTTAGGTTCTGCTGCCCAGCAGGGCCTGGCCCTGAGCAAGCCTCCCTCACACCTGCTTTCACCAGCCGGACAGCCTCTTCCCTGAGCTCCCATCAGAGCAGTGCCAGGCTTTCTTCTTTTGTTTTATGTATTGGGCTTTGTTGTCAGACATCATTCTGGGAAAGGATTCTGTGGTCCAAAAAATCATTTTGAAAACCACTGGATGAGATCATCTCTAAAGTCTCTTCAAGAATGAACAATTAATGATCATAATAGCACAGTGCCTTTTATTGTGCTTTACAGCTTATTCCACATACTCAAATGCATTCTCTCATTTAAGCCAAAATTCCAGGAGGGGTGCAAAATCCCTTAGTCTGACAGTTGAGGAGACTGGGGCTTAGCTGGCAGAGTGACCTGCTCAAGGTCACACGGCTAGGCAGAAACAGAACTTCAGGGTGTGGACCGGGGCTCTTCCCTTGACATCATCTTTCTTCTCATTGGCCACCTGTAGACAGGGCACACCAACAGAGAGGCACCAGGGTCTGTCTGCAGAGGTTGTTACTAGGGCCCCTCTACTCACCCACTGGGAAGGCGCAGCCTCGGAGACAGCCTGACACAGATCCCGGCGCCAGTGATGAGATAAGTCCCATCCTTCCTGGCCAGCCAGGGTCCTGCCAGCCCACGGTAAGGCCTGACGTGTTGGGCGTGCGAGGCCCATATAGGATGCTGAACAGCTCATGGCTTACTGGAATGTGGGGAGACAGAGGGTGCCTCAGGGCAGGGTCGGCACTGTGCCTCGCTCATCCATCTCCGTGTCCCTCTGAGGGTTCACTAAGCAATGGCCCTGAGCCTGGGAGCCTCTAATGAATGGTTGTTAAGCTGAAATGAAATGACACCAGGCTCCTCAGGCTGCAGGGCCTTCTGAGAAGCTATTTTCAAGTTTATTTGAAAAAGCGATCTCCCTGGGATCTGAAGTGAGTCAGGACAATCAACCACCTCTTCTGGGTTGCATTCAAGGAGGGTCTGGCCCTTCTCAAGCCCACCAACCAAAATGAGGCCAAGGGGAGCCGGAGTTCCTGCAGGGTCACTGAGCAAGAGGGTCCCCGCAGCACATGGAGGGGAAAGGCACCCGTGGGAGGAGAATGGACTGCCTGGAATCCTGACAGCACAGAAAACGGGAGCCAGTGCTTAAAAGAGCTCAGATTGGGGAGTAAAAAAAATATGTATAATATATATAATGTGTGGGGAGCCGGCGGGACTCCCCCCGGGGAGGGCCCGCCGGGCGAG